AATAGGTATGCAACTAATTTCTGTACTGTTCTGAACAAGAAGATTCCCGAGACAAATTACCAAATCGAGGAAATTATATGCGCTCAAACAGAACTATCAGATATTACAAAAAATATTTTCCAAAATACCTTACAGCATGGGGCCAAAGATTATGTGATAATTATGTTCAATACTAACAACATTAGTAATAACAAAAATTTTTCCTTAGCTTTAAAACAAATACTACCTATTGGAAAATTCACGAACCTTTTACTCATATCTGAACGTAACAGACCTATAGACCAAATTATCATAAACAAAATAAGGAAATACATAAACGAATTTAAAAAACGCAATTTTTCAACCTCTATAAGATGTCTCATCGATAATAGACAAAATGGAAGTAAATTTAGAATATTGGAAAAAGTTATATATTTCCTGTCATCACCAAATGGTAACATTGTTATTGTACCTATTCATCTTCTTCCTGGTATAAGTGCCTCCAACCAAGAAAGCTCCAATACATCTTTTTTAGAGATTTAGAATCCACAACATCAGGAAAGGTAATAAATAGCATAAGCAAATGCGCTATTTCTGTAATATTGCTGAACATCCAATCTTTACGATGCAAAGCAGACGAATTAGGAATATTTTTTGAAGACAAGAATAATCCGAATATTGTACTTCTAACCGAGCACTGGCTTAAGGACAGTGAGCCCCACTTAGGGAATTATAAATCTCTCTCCAAATTTTGTCGAAATGCCGGATATGGCGGCACTATGATCTTAATTGAGGAGGAATCTTTGGCCAAATATCGGCCTCAAAATATAGCAAAATTTAATTACCTTAATGAAGAAAAAACATTCGAGTGCTCTGTTTGTTATCTAAAAACCATCAATTTGTATGTTTTGTGCTTTTACAGATCACCTACATCTGATGTGAATTTATTTTCAACTAGTTTAGAGATAATATTGAATGATTTGCCAATCCATGCAAACATACTCCTGTGCGGAGATTTTAAAATAGACTACTCAAATATTAACTCTTGTACCACTCAAGATCTTATAAATTTGTTTAATTCTTTTAATTTGAATATGCATGTTGAATCAAACACCAGAGTCACTAAATATTCCTCATCTTGTAGAGACTATATAAGTAGTAATTTTGACATTGGAAATGTTCTATGCTCTGTTACATCCTCAGGGATTTCGGATCATGAGAATGTAATATTGTTCATGAGATGGTACCAAAAAATAAAATTTGAATTGGAAGAATCTATAGTAGTGCAAACTATGATAGGTTTTATCAAAAGTGTGCTAATCTAGACTGGAATAGTATCCTATTTACGCAAGAACCTTTCTTTGCTTTTTACTGTCAACTCATGGAAGTATTCAATGTATTTTTTCCACTGAAGAAAATCAAAATGAAACGGACAAAGCCTTGGGTAACAGCTGGAATTAAAGTATCTTCAAAAAACATGCGTTTCTTGCATTACATGAAAAAATTCACAAACAATCCTGCTATACATGAATATTTTTTTAAATACCATAGTATAAACAGAAATCTAATAAAATTAACAGAAGAAAACTACTATAAAAATAGAATCAATTTATCAAATAATAAAATGAAGGAAACATGGTTTATCATTAACGATATACAAGATAAGAATAAAAAGAAAAGAATCACCGATATCCCTATCAGCCCAGATGAAATCAATAACTTATGCTGTACAATCGCTAATAAACTCAGTACACATATTTCTCCACCGTACGATCCACTAATCCACCTTGAAAACTTATCAATTGAGGAATCTTTTATACTGCAAGATACTAATATTTATGAGCTTGCAGAAGCGATCAAAGTCATAAAAAATAAAAAAGCAGTAGGTTTTGATGACATCTCAAGTAAAATTTTTGAAAATCTCCCAATTGAAGCCCTTGAAACTCTTGTGTTACTGATAAACTTCTCATTTCATAGTGGAGTGTTCCCATCTTTCTTAAAATTATCGGTAGTCATTCCTCTACACAAAGGTGGCGATCTTGAAGACCCTTCAAACTATCGACCAATTTCCCTTATACCTACGTTGGCAGAAATTATCGAACAACTCGTCAAAAAAAGGCTCAACGAGTTTCTTGTAACTCACAAAGTAATCAATGAAAATCAATTCGGGTTCCAAACCAATAAAAACACCCATGACGCAATTTTCAGTTTTCTGTATGAGGTATATGCAAATATCAACATTGGAGATGTAGCCGCGGCAGTCTTCTGCGATTTTGCGAAAGCGTTCGACTGTGTTAACCACAATTTACTCCTGCATAAGTTGTATTATTGTGGTTGTAGAGGAAAAACGCTCGAGTGGTTTCAGTCATATTTAACGGGACGAATTCAGATGGTGAGGACAAACGAACTATCAAAAAAACTAGAAATCAATTCGGGTGTACCACAAGGTTCAGTACTAGGCCCGATCCTCTTTCTTGTATATATTAATGACTTACTAACTATAGATGTATCTGGCAAACTAACTCTTTTTGCAGACGATACCACAATTTTGTGGCATAGTGTATCAGTGAAATCTTCATGAAAACATATCCAGAGACATTTTAATTATAAAGTCTTGGTGTGATTCAAATTTATTATCATTCAACATCAGCAAAACAAATATGATCTCTTTTAAATGGAATCTTGACAATTTACCCTTAGCTAACGGAACTATTGAAAATAAAGATTGCGCTAGGTTTCTAGGACTTTATATAGACAAAGGTCTGAAATTCGAAAACCACATAAAAAAACTGAGGGCTATAGTTACCTCGGGGTGCTATGCACTGAGAGTTATATCTAGAGAACTTGGAAGCTCCACAGCAAGAACTGCATATCATGCTATGATAGAGACGCACCTGAGATACGGTATACCTTTTTGGGGGGTGTGCAGTTCCCACATTCTGAATTCTATTTTAAAATTACAAAAAAGAGCAATCAGACACATATACCTACAAGATGAATCCACGTGAATCATGCAAGCTAATATTTAAAGAAAAACGAATATTAACAGTGGTAGCACTCTTTATTTTGGAAACTGTGTGTCTCGTTAGAAAACATACATTGCGATATAACAACAATTATTTCCATTACAAAACCCGCATGAGTAACAAAAATAACCTGAAACTGCCTATCCCTTCCTCCGCATTAATCAAGGATTCTTTTTTTTAACGGTGGTAAAATGTACAATCATCTGCCTGAATGCCTCAAAGAAGCAAATCTGAACATTGAATACTTCCGAAAAGACATCAAAGGAGTTTTAATCAGCAGACCCTATTAAAGCTTGCAGGAATTTTACGATGATCATCTCTGATTGATATTTATTGTTTATTTTACTTATAGTATGTATTCGTACATGTGCGAGCGTATTTTCGCATACATTTTTTTAATTACTATATGTTTGTATGTACCTATGACAAAAATACTTACTGTTAATGTTGTTTTTAGTTTTGATGTTTTTGTGAGTCTATATTTTTTAATGTATTTTATATCTTAGCTATGTAAACTTTGTCAATAAGAATACCTTCTTGAGACAATAAAGTATATTTTTTTTTCACTGTAGTGTGCGCTGGTCAGGCCCTATCCCCCGAAGCCCCGATACATTCGGGAGGGCGCGCCAGCATAATCAACCAATGACCACTCCCCACACCGTGGGGTAAGTGATCATTGGGTCCGAGAAACATGTGCCCTGAGCAAATGCAGTGAGCCAAGAATGACAGCCTACTGCATCTGTGCGGCTAAGATTTCTGCCTTAGTGCGACAAGCCGGTATGACTTTGAGATCCGAGAGTAGAGAAGACATCATTCCACCAAGAAAGTCTCCATTGGTGGTATGATGTCAGTCTCCTCTCCAGCCGTGCCAACGGGTGGTAGAAATGTCACTTCTACCACTTCGTTAGCAGGCTGGAAAGGAGCTGAATAGCCCTGCCGCCGAAGATAAGATACATAATCCCTAAGGTTTTGGGCGGAAAAGGCGGCATGCTCCGGATGTGTTTCACACCACAGAGCATGCAATCTCGCCATGTACCCTCTTCGCGCAGGCTCACTACTCTCGTAGCAATGCATAAGGCTATCTCTTAGCTCATGCGTCCATTCAAAACGTCCGTTTTCATTGCCAGGGTTGTCATCAGTAGGCAAATCATCGTTATGGGCCCCACCACCTTGCTAACTACCTCCAACGGGTAGTTAGCCCTTTGGACCCACGGCCGGCACCGGAGGGAGAATGGAGTTCTCCTTCCCGGGTGCGCCTGGGCTGCCAGTCCGGTTTTGCATTAGTTGCTCGGGTAAGTGGTGTCGCAACTCACCAAAGGACAAGAGTGTTAGTAGCCATCCCTGCTTATTATTATGGTCGGTTCCATGTGGGTGCTTTGTTCACTCACTCAAATCGACCGCCGTGTTAGTCGGTGGTTAGAGCCGCAGACTGAACGATCGATTTCCACTTGCTATCTACATACGTTGAAAGGTAAGGCCTCGTTAGTCCTTAGCTCGCACAAGTTTCGACTTCTGAGGGTTGTCTTTCGTAGGGGTGCGACAGCTGGATAACGGAAAACAATATTTTAAACATATTTTTAAAAACACTTCATGGCATCAATACGTCTTCCAAACGAATGAAATATATCGATGATATCTCACACACACTCCGTTTTATTTAAATTCAAAATAAGTGAGCCCTCAATAAAAGACCCCATTTTTCTGAAGATAAGCCAGTGAAATCTCTCTGCTTATTTCGTCACCCGTGATAAAACTGATAAGACCGGTTGTGACCCGAGGTGGTTTGGTGAAGCAGAGGAATAGGGGTGTACCCCGGGAGTATCGAGGAAGGAGGAAAAATACGCTCGGCTTGATGACTTATAAGGTGAGCATTGCGTTTTATTATCCTTACTCAACTATTCATTCTCTCGAAAAATCAAACAGAGAAATATGAAAGTGAAATAAGAAATGAGTGCGGGTTTGTGAAATAAGTTTTCAATATGTTTGATATGGGTAGTTCTTTATTTGCAAATAGTTTTTCTATAAAGTGGCATTATTATCAGAATGGAAAGTGCACAATACTCTGATATATCCGATAGTTGGTGTTCATCAACAATAATGGGTAAATCGGTTCAGTTGTGAATTATGTGTTTAGTTTTCCATTGAACTTATTGTTCGAAGGAACATTGAATATGAAACCATTGTTTTGAGAGTCTGAAATAAAATGAAAATAAAGTTATTAGTTCAATCTTTTGATGGAGATATAAATATATATATATATA